CATACCTCTGTATTATCCAAACCATAGGACTGTTAAGGATTTGACTATAGAGATGTTAGAGATATTTAATAAATTAATCATTAGGGGTGCTTATTCATTTTGGCCTAAATATTGGCTGCCTAGCAAATATTAAAATAATGATAGAAAATCAGTTATAGTTTTGTCTGTAAGATTTCTATTAGAAAAATCCATTTAAAAGTGTCAGCAAATATTCCATAGCAAGTTCTATTAAGTTTTTTTGCATTTAAAATTTAGGAGTTTGCAGAAATAACAGTAAATTTTGTTCATTTTAGGGACCCAGAGCCCTATGGAAAGGAATGGGAAGTACCTTCATTGTCCAAGGAGTCACACTTGGAGCAGAAGGCATAATTAGCGAATTCACACCTCTGCCAAGGTACCCTTTTGGCACTTTTCTCAGCATTAGTTTATAATATATAGGAAACTATCTTAAAGTACTTAACTCTGAATTTTGTTTGTAATACTGTAGGGGGTGGCAGCTCTCAATTCGGTTGATTCCATTTTAGCAAAAGAAGCTCTAGTTTACCCTTCACTCCACCTGTATTAGGATGTTGTCACTCCTTCCAACTTTTCCCACCTTTGTTAAGACAAATGCTTCATGTTATCACTCCTTCAGTCCTTCCCCACCCTCGTTAGGATGCTCTCACTCCTTCAATCCTTCCCCACCCTTGTTAAGATATTGGAAACTAACAGGAAAACAGAATTACAAAGAATCCCATTGCCGTGGAAACCAAGTAGGTATTTAAGCAGAGGTGAAACTAAGAATGAGGCTGGAGGTGCTTCTGATCTGTAAGGATTGGAAAAGCTTGTATGGATGTTTGTCAGACATTGAAGATCTGTAACCCGGAAGGGTCCAATGGCCAGCTTTATTAATAAACTCTGTTTTCCATAGAGGTCTGGGGAGATGGCTCAGTAGAATAAGCACTTGCCTGGCAAGTGCAAGGGCCTGGGTTTCGCCAAAAAAATAAAAACATAATAACAAAATAAACTCTGTTTTCCCCAATATTCAGTCTGATGTGAAAAATCTCACCATTTTAATAGCTAATCAGAATTAAATTATGTGATTAATTATATCCTGTTGAGTTAGTATGTGATGAAGCAAATGCTTCATGTCCTAGTATATCCTAGTATCTGTTTAGGCGTGCCTTTTCAGTTCCTTCTATTTGCCAGAAGTTGCCAATTAGGAACAAATATGAGTATCTAAAGAATTCCTGTTCTTCATGTAGCCAGTTTGATTATAGTACTCTGCATTATTCGTTATGTAATTGAATAGTCCCCTTCAGAGGCCAAGTGATATTGTACCTTGAATTATTGGTAAGAATTTCCCAAAAATAACTGAAATTTGAGCTAGGGCTTGAATTATATATAAGAGTTGACTTGGCAGAAAAGGAAGTCATTCCAAGGAGGGGTGAGAGCATGTCCAGTGTTAGGGAATTCGAACAACTTTGCTAATAGAGAGAAATGGCTTAGTCCTGGAATATTGCCTATGTACTGGGTGTAATATTAGGAAGAGAAGCTAAAATGTTGAAGTACATCCATGTCTTACTAATGTTTTAATCTCAGTGGAATTGGAATCTGAGACTTTTTTTTTTAAGTAGGAAGGTTTTGATCAAGGACATATTCAAGTGGTAGAATAAAAAAATAAAAAATGACTAGCTATGAAATCTACTAGGCCAGGATGAGGTAAGTTGGGGAATTCATGAAGTCAGTTGGTGTAGAGAAGATGAATTCAATAAACGAAACTTGAGAGATATGTAAGGATCATCATGTCTCAATGAGAATGTCTAGATGGTTGGAACTGTGGATCAGAGTCTTGTGGAAATTTGAGCTGGAAATATAGTTTCAAGTATTGTGGAAGAAACATAGAACTTAAAGCACTACAGTGGGTGAAATTCAGCTAAGGAGAAATTATACACTAAGTGATATAAAGTGGCCCAAAGACAGAATCCTGAGCAACTGCGTATTTGTGCTATCTCATGTATATGGGTGGGTGTGTTCTGGAGAGATAGTTGAAGGGGATGTAATTAGTGGTGTCTTTGAAACAAGTTAAAAGCAGTAGTAAGATACAGTATGGTACATGATAATACTAGAAGCAAGAGGTTATAGATACATTTAGAGGAAGAGGAACTGGGAAGGTATGCTGAGTGTCTTCTTCTGTGAAGCTCTTTCTAAGGTTACTGGATAACAGAAACATTAAGTGTTGAGGTTCTAGCAGAAAATCATGAGAATGAGAGCCATTTGGACAGTTACAAAATGAATAATAAGGCAATATGGAAACAGTATAGGAAAGGAACATTAACAGATGTCAGACACCATAAATTTGTTCGGTGTTGTTTGTCATGATTCTGTGATGTTTGGAATCAGTCCACAAATACCATTAAGGACTTTTGAATGGTTCGTTAATTCAAAATTAGAACCAAGGGTAAATGTTGTGGGTTGTCGAGGAGGTTAGATAGCTGAAGGTGTAGCTCTTGCTATGTTACATGTCCTCAAGATTGGGGAAAGACAGCAAGAGACTGATACCTAGCTTTTCTCCCAATGTGATTGCTTTTGAAGAACTTCTGTTTTCAAGTTCCTTCAATACAAAATACTGAAACAGACAGTAGAAGCAAAACAATGAAAGGTTAGAAATATATGGCCAGCTAATGGTTTCATGTCTTCAATTCACACTTTGATTTTGTTAAATAAATACATATATTTATGCAGCTGGGAAGGTAGCTCAGCGGTCTATGCATCTGCCTGGCCAGCACAATGACCCAAGTGCGTTCTCCAGTACCACATGTCATCCTGGCCCTTGAACCCTGAACATGGTGGTGCATGCCTGTAATCCCAGCACTGGGACTGAGACAGCAGGATCACTGTGAGTCTGAACTGTGTAGCAAGACCCTGTAACAAATAAATAATTTTTTAAAATACATATATTTATTTATAAGATAGTTGAGATACTTATACTAATGTCTATTGGTTCATTGAAAAGAAAGGTTTATGCTTATATTGGTTGATCAATTTTTTTTTCAAAATTTTATTGATAAACAGCGATGAGACAGTTTCAAATCAAATTGGTAGGACAGTTTCAATAATTAGCACACTGCATATATTCTTCTTAGTGGTTAATTGCTGTACAAGATGCAGACTTGAGATCCTATTTACAAACACCATTAGAACAAATCATTCTATTCAGAGTCCAGTAGCCTATAATAGTATTGAGTCTTCTGTTTAACTGGCAATGTCAGAAATTATTGACCTGAGTCCCCCACAGCTCAACATAACAACATGGCTTTACTTCCTATATTTCGTCTTCATACTTTTCTACTGGATGGTTAAGACCAAGGTAAAGCAGGACCTGTGCAACAAGAGTTGTAGCTTTTTGGTCTGAGGAGGTCAGTGAAATCCCTTCAGGATTTATCCTGAGATACTGTACCTCAGATTGTAGAACCTTTGTCAGTGTCAGCCATGTGGATGACTCACGGCCATTGCTTGGCCAGGGTGCTCTCTGTGAAAGCCTGAGAGAATGTTTTCTCTCCATGTCACTCTCCTTAGGCACACTCTACATCATCGATCACTTTCCTCTTTGGCCCCATAATCTTCTTGATCAGAAAATTTGGGACACTACCGAAGTACATGACATTACAGTACAAGTTCTCGTATGTCCTGAGTCTTAATTGACCTTTGGTTGATCAATTTTTCATTCCTATCTCTTGTAATATAAGCCACTACTTTGAGTAATAGACAGTGTAGTAACCATTGTTATTCTCCAACTATATTTTCTTTTAAAATTTTATATCATTGTTTTTACTGTTTTTCCTCTTTAAAATAAAAAAAAAACTTTTGACTTTCTGGGAGATTTTGTTTTCTTTTTGGTGCTGAAGGTCAGCTGCATGGCCTTGTGCACCCCTGTGGGCAGCCCTCCAAGGCTGTTCTGTTCTTGGCTGACCTTATTCCTACTGCTGCTTTCTATATCACAAGTAAGCTTGAAAGTAAGTACTTGAATTCAAATATTACTGAGGACATTTAGACAGTCAAAAACACAAAATTCTGTAAAATTTTAATAAAATTCAGGAAATTCAGCTTGGTAGAGTGGAAAAAATGCAGCTTAAAATCAGTACATTATTAGTTCAAGTCCTGGCTACCCCAGGGACGTAGGCAAGTCATGTTAATTCTCCAAAGCAGAGGCCGCTTCACATTAAAGAGAAGGAAAAAGAAATAGAAATGGAAGGCATAGAATTTTAAAATTGATTATGTTACCTTCTTGTTCCACAGATAAACAGGCCTTCAAGTTGTATGGGAATTTATTTTATTTTCATTTCAAATTTTAATAATGAACACACAAAAAGTTATCTTAGTTATATTATTGTACTTCAATACTCTTGATGATAAATCCCATTGGTTAATTCACTTACTTAGTGAAGTGCTTACTACCAGCATGTGCTAGGTTGTAGGCTATGTGTCAGGTTTGTAATGAGAAGAAACAAAATTAACTGTTACTCAGCTCAAAATCTAGTAGAAGAATATATCTTAGCAAAATAATCACACCACAGGATAAATAATTACAAATAGAAATTTGTTCTGTGGACCCAAGTATGGTGGTGCACACCTGTATTCCCAGCACTTGGGAGGTTGAGACAGGAGGATCTCTTGAGTTCAAGACCAGCCTGGGGGCTACAAAAGTAAGTACAAGCCAGCCTGAACTGCACAGTGAAACCCTCTCTCAAAAACTAAATACATTTATTCTCCAATGGGAAAGAATATGGTTCTATGAGAATCGTGGTGGTAGGATCCTGTGTCGGTTCTTAGCAACATTACACTCAACCCAAGACCTGAGAGTATGTAGGAGGTGCTTGCTGTTTGTGTGAATGTACTACAGAGGCAGAATTGAGAATTCAAGTAATGGAGAGGAGATAGGACCCATGTGATTGACAGGCAGAAAAAAGAAAGAGCAGAGTAGAAGGTATTGCTAAAGAAATAAGCAGGACCCACACTATGTGTGGTTTTTTAGGTTACTTTAAGGATGCTAAAGAGTTGTAACTAATGTCAGTGGCATACCTAAAACAACACAACCTTTTGTTTTGAAGGGGTTATTTTAGCAGTGGATGAGATTAAAGGAAGACCAAAATGAATAAAAGGAGATATCCTAGTAAGTTATAACAATAATGTGTGAAATATTAGTAGCAAGGGCCAGGGCAGTATCTTTTAATTGAGGTAAATGGACACTTTTAAAAAATACATGAAATTGATGGAACTTGGTGATCAAAGAGGAATAGTAGATGAAAGGTGGGGTGATACTAAAGATGGCTTTAAGGACTTCAGCTTTTGTAATCAACAGAATGTCAAGTAAAGACATTATCTGAAGTAGTACATAACCTTTTTTTTTTTTTTTTAATGTATTCTTTGGGCAGGTTGACCTTTCTTGGGGAAAAGTAGAGTCATGGCAGATCAAAACAATACAAAAAAACTTAACTCAAAGCAATTAGTAGAAATTACCAGTTGCTCCTAGACTGCGTGGGACTATTAGGTAAAGCAGATGTAACAGTGTGTATTAACCAGTATTTATTTTTAAACTGATTATGATCACCTCAGAGAAAAGCAAACAGTCTAGGGCTTTTAAGTCCACACACTTACACAGTAATTTCTCAGTAGCATTCCTTTTTAAGGAATCATTGTCTGCTAGCTCTTTCTTTGGTGCCAGAACCTCCCATGTACCCCCTAGCCTTCCCCCAGTTGGAATGAGGTAGACTGTGCATGAGTCTCCCCAAAGGACCCTTCCCTTTATTGACATTTGATGTTTCCATGTCATTAACAGGAGGTAGGCGTGTCACTGAGGCCACCCGTGTAGTCCAGTCTCACAAAACTCAGCTGAACTCCAACTTAGCTTGGAGTCATCGCGTGTTTGTGGTTGTACAATATAAACATCTTGCTTCTTTTCTCCAAATGATTCCCCTTAATTCACTTACTTCAGAATCCTCAGCTATTTCACACATAATGAAATAGTCTTTGAATTCCTCAAATTCAGCCAATTTCTTTCTGATTAATAGGTCTTCAGTAGAGAATACTAGAATAAATGTTTTAAACTTGATTTCATTCTAATTCAGTTCATTTTCAGATCTTTTTTCATATCTAGGTGGGATTATCAGTAAGCAAATGGTGTGAGGCTTGTATATAAAAAACTTTTAATTGAGGGTAAATTTGAGAGATTTTGAAGCTATGCCCCAGAAAATGCCCAGTGTACCACATGGAATAAGAAAAGAGTGCCTGAGCCTTTGGGAACTCCTGCAGCAGGTGGCTGGTTAGGAAAGATGGGCCTGCAAAGAATTCAGAAAGTGACACCAGAAAAGAGACTAGGAACCAGAGCCAGAGCAGTAAGGGCTGGTGGAGTACAGGGGTGAAGGCTGCTTCTGGAAGGGCAGAGGAACAAATGTCTCATGGGTCCATGCTGAATATGCCTGCCGCACTCAATGACATGGAGATTTTGGGGAACTGTGGCAGGAGCTGTTTTATACAATAATGGGGAAGAACCATTTTAGCATGGATTTTCACATGGAAACACTAAGTTTAGAAAGTTAACTGTGAAGAAACAAGCCTAACTGACATTTATAACGGTAGGTAGGCTTTGCTTGAAATTAGCAAACCAAAGCATATTTACATGTATTTTGACATTTGATAAAGAAACAAGACCTTTATCACATTTTTACTTCCCTGAATCATCTAAATATTTGAAAGTAAATTTCTAAACTTCAGGCATTAAGGTACTCATTTTATAAAAGTCCCCTTTTTATAAAGTAGAGAATAGATATAAGGCAGGATTTTTTTTTTAATGCTTGATTCTGAATTTTCTTTTTCTCTTTAACCTTGATCATTTTAAGAGTTAGCAGTAATAATTATCATTATATTTAAAAGGAAGGTGGCCCTGTCCTTACAGAGAGAAGTTATGGACCTGTTTGGCCCACAGTGTTAATGACAGTTTCACGCTTAAAAAGGAATGACTTGGGGAAACCCTCTCTAGGGCCATGATAAGAGTGACACCAATACCAGGACGATGTACAGAACAGGCAGCATATTTTGTTTTATAATCATAAAGTAATTTTCAGTCGATAGATGGAAACGTAATCTTACAGCTGGAAATCTCATCTTTGTTTTGTACTCTGCTTTCTCTGTTGTTTGACACACACACGTGCGCGCACGCACACACACACATATTTTTCTTCCATAACTCCTCTTTTTCATTTATTTTCTGTCTTTATGCTTCTCATTTATTGAATGAGAAGGATACAGCCGTCCTCTTGTGTATTCCGGCTTACCTCTCCCCCCGTATCTGCTGCCTTTCTTCCTTTCCTCTTTCCCTCCCTTCCTCTGTCCTTCTCTCCTTCCCCCTGACTTCCTCTTTACTTTTGTTTTCCACCTACCCCCAGAGAATTGAAATAGCAGCCAAAGCAAAGACAGTCTTGGATCTCAGTGCTAAACAATAATAATAATAATGATAATAATAATGGTCAGAAAGTGAACACAAAAGTGAGAATACTCTGGAAATAAGGTACTATGCAAAAAATACAACATGTCTGCATTGCAGTTACTTAATTTTGTTTTACTGTTAAATTCTTATGCCTGGAACTTCGTAAAGCCTTTTCCTTTTTCTGTTCTATATTTCCTTCTGTAGTTTTTAAATGTCATGTTTACATTTCTTCTTTTAATGTCTTGTTTGGTTTTAGTCTGTTGAACGTTCTCCTCCTCAGCCCCTCTGTCAGCACATGGAAAGAGCCTTCTATGCTTTTCTGTTTCTGAACCATCACTGCTGTTTCAAGTGTATTACATAAAAGAAAATCTTCACTATTTGAATATATTGCTGCTACAAGGAAAACAAATCAGAATTGATTACTACCATTTTGAAAATTATATTGATTTAAGATATTTTAAATAACAGGATTTTGTTCAATTTTAGTTTACTTTTACATTTTAGGGAGATTTCACACAAATGGAATCCTAAAAAAATAGGTGAACATCTTCTGCTGAAAGCGTAAGTATCAAAAATGGCATTTTATTGGAAATTTTCATTCATTTTATAGCTATACAACTTTAAAAAAATCTTATTAATAGATACAGTTAAGGAAATTAGAGTAACAAAATATTTGTGGGAATTAATCATTCAAAGGGCAGCTAACAATTAAGAATAAGATCCTGACAGATATTTGATCTTTAAAATAATTCTTACTAATATGAAAAGCTGGGATCAGCCAACTTTTTTCTTTTATTTATAGGAAGTTAGCAAAGGTCTTTAATTTGTTCAGCCTAAATTTCTAAGAAAATTATCAGCACTGGTTGAGCATCCCAAAGCCAAAATGCTTCAAAAGCTGAATTTTCCATGCCTCTCTGGGTGACAGTTCATAGTCAAAATGCAGGCAATCTAAACATATCATAAATTTGCCTTCAGTCTGTGTACAAGGTACAGATAAAGCATAGACAGGTTTTGTGTTCAGACGTGGGTTTTAGCCCAAGGATATACATGTAAATATTCCAAAAGCAGAAAAAAAGTCTCAAATCTGAAATACTTCTTTTCTCTTCTGAAATACCCCTGATCTTAAGCATTTCTAGAAAGGGATACTTAACCTATATTCTGTTACTAAACAGACATGTAAACTTGTTTGTATAGCAATGAGACATTGAAATATAGTCCTAAGGGCACTTGGTGGTGTTACAACAGTAACTATTTTGTAGATTAGAATTTTACTCTTTTTAATTTTTTTTGAAGATTGTGAATTGGAAATCCCCCAGCTTGCTGGCTCCTCTGTGGGCATTCTAGCACATTATTACTTAGTGATGTTCCATTCACCTTGAAAACTGCTCCTTACCAGGACCTGGCCCCTAAGGGTTAGGTAAGTCCCACTTCGATATGATTTTTGAATATCTATATTTTGCAGGCTTGCAAAGTTGTCATTTACTATCCCTAAATATTTTATGATAGGAAACAACTTTGCAAAGCTGTACAATATTGTTTTTTTAACAGTAAAAGGGGACTTTACCTACTGTTGAAGGCTGACCTAGCTCTACTGGATGGGAATCTGGGGATGGATAATGGGACAATAACAGAAAAAGGAAACATTTTCAATTGTCACTAAAAAGGCAAGCTGTGGAGTGGATCTTTCCTCCTAAATTTTAAGTGTCAGATTTATAGGATGTATTAGCTGTATACGGGTTGATGTCCCAACAGCAAACTGTAAATGAGCTTCTGTTGTCTTTAGATAAAATCTTGATTTTTGTGAAAGCTATCACTGTGTTATTAACCCTTGATTTCATTTCCATCTTTGTTGAATAAAGTGCCCTGTGTTAGAGGTTTCTCAACTTGAATATTAAGGCAAAGTAGTGATAGTTGAAAATCTTAGGTCATCATAGCTGGAATATAAATTGTGCTGATATATTAAAGTCCATATTTAAATATTTCATATGAGCAGTTTGTTTCAATATGCTGATAAATCTGTTTTAATTTCTACAGCCTAACTTACATTGTGGCGATGCCTTTTTATTCGGCAAGTCTAATTGAAACAGTACAGGTGAGCTGTCTCCACACTGTCATTTCTTTTAGCTAAATATTTTTCCTATACTCAATCTATTGTATATACATGACTATTTAGCAGAACAGTTAAAGTCAGTATCCTTTAAAAATATGTATTTCACAACTACCATACGTATATCACACATTGTTGGCACCTGTATTTCCATTCCAAACTTAGGACATCCGTTTTCCTCCCTGTAAGCAGCTATATTCTCTGTTCTGTTATCTCACAACCCATCTCGTGACTTGCTGTGAATACAAGGAATGTATAGTAATCTGAGAGCCTATGTACAACTCAGATGGTTATATCTTATAGTGCAGTTATCTTACTTATCTAAGCACGAGCTCGTCATCCTGACAGTTTGCATCTGATCCCTACAGGTAGCTTAGTGACAGAATTTTTTAAAACTATGATTTCAAAGAAACACTTGTGACCATTGCTGTGATTACTAGGAAGCTTAAGGAACATCCTAACTTTAAATTCTGTCTGTTACTGTTTTTAACCACATGGTGGCACTTTAAGTACATGGAATCAAATGGCCTACACTAGCCTTCCTGGGTTTAAAACTGCAAGATGAAGGCAGCTTGGATTTCACATAAAACACAGTCTCCCTGTATGTGCACCTGTTTTCTGTCTCCAACATCAAATGAGATCCTCGAGCATTTTTTTCTTTAGTATATGTGAGTGCCTTCTCTCTGTTCTTTTCCTCTTCATTTCTTTTCTGACTGCAATGTTAATTTTTTTTTAAATTGCATTTAACTGAAAATAGCATCTTGTGACCCAGACATATTTTGTTTTCTTTGCTCTTGCTTAATATATTCTTATTTTAAAAAATAATGAAAATTAGCAGAAAACTAAGCAGCATGACATATTAACGGAAAAAATTTTGGCTTGGCGTAGACTCAGATTCTTCTCTATTTAAATTATATCTATTACTTTAGATAAATTTTTAACCTTTTAAAATCTTAATTTCTCACTCATAAAATGATATTATTTTAATAACTGAGTTTTGAAAATTAAATGTTGGAAATCTGTAAATGTCTGGCTCAGTACAGGACAGATTTTTCATGTTTCTAACCTAATGTTCACTACTTTGCTTGCTTCACATCCTACTTATGAATGCTGTCCTTTAAACTCCTTTGGTCTGCTGTTCTAAAACTCTTTTCTCTTCCCCCTAGATTCTGCTGTCTTTGAGTCACCTTTCAGTACCTTTTTTTCTCCACCATCCCTTTCAGTGTATCTTAAAGCTTGGTCTTTGACCGTCTCTATTTTTTCTCTTCCTATAATGATTATCCAGAGAGTGCTCATCGCGCAAATCAGTCATTTCAACTCTAATCTTCATTCATTTCAAAAATCAGCTAGTCTCATCAACCTGAGAAGTAGTTTGCATTTAAATCTATTTTCCCTTTCTGTTAATAGCACTGTGTTAACTTCAGCCTAATTCAAAATTTTAGTTTTAGAGGAGCTTATTATTTTATGTTCTTTTCATCCTGCATAAGCAATCATCCATTGTGACTAATTAGTTCTAACAACAATATCCAGAGTCTGTGCCCATTCCATAAGCCATCATTCTTACTCCTGTCTTACTGAATATTAGGTTCTTGAGTGTCTTTCTTCTCACTTCAAGCTTGTGGGCTTTTTGTCCATCTGGGGGCACCAAGATCTCTCTGAACATTATTTTTCTTCATTACTCTGTCTCCTCTTTAGCTGCTAAACTCTTTTTCTTCATTAAACATTCACAAGTACCAGTTTGTGTCACACACTTGTAGACCCTGGGGACCCAGAAATAAATAAAACAGATGTAAGTGTTCTGTCTTCACAGCCCTCCTATGCTTGTGGGAAGGACAGCCATAAACAAGATTCCTATAAGGTGCTGATGATGTGTTAAAGCAAAAATAAAGCAGGGAAAACAAACTGGGTGTGTAATGGGTAGGGAAAATGGTTAATATTTTTTAAAGGCAATCCTAAGAAGAAAATGACATTTGAGTCAGGATAGATAACATCCTTCTGATGGGATGGTATTATACATATTTAGAGACTCATTAGGCAAGATGGGGAAGCATGGAGGTTGAGGTTGGATAATAAGAAGTGCCGAATTATAGAAGACATTGTAGCCTGCTGTAATGGTTTGGCCCTTTAGGGAGACGGTAGTTTGAGCAGAAAGCTAGTATGATCTGACTTGCGACTTTATTAGGATCTCTTTGGTTATTGTCTTACAAATAGATTGTAGTTGGGAGAGCAGGGTCAGAGACAGGGAGGTGAGTTAGTGTTAGCTGCTCTTCCTCATGAGGACAAGAATGCACTCACTAGGGGAGAGTTTCACTTGGCTCCTGGTTTCAGAAGATCAGGCTGTTGTTAGCTAGCTTCAAAGCAGAAATGGTATGGAGGAAAGGTGCCAAGGAGGAAAACTGCCTAACCCACAGCAGCCAGGAGCATAGAGAGTAGTACATCCTGCAGGCAGTGCCCTCAGGACCAGGCCCCACCACCTGCGGCTGCTGGATCCTCTGATGGCCTCAGCACCAACATCCCTGTGACCCAAACACCTCTCCAAAGCCTCAGCAATAAGCTCATGAGACTGTGGAGGTCATTTTAGGTCTAAACCATAGCAATTAGTAAACTTGGTGAATTGAGTTTCATGGTTTAAAATATCTCTCTGTTGAGGACTTCCATGCTCATAGTATGGTCTGTTTGAGCCTTTTTCTTATAAGCCGCTGATACTTAACAATTGTGCTTCTTTTTTCTGTACGGGAATCAACATTTCTTCAGTCTTGGCCAACTTTCCCAAGTCACTTCATCAGCAGCTCTGTTCCTGCAGGACCCCGGGCCAACAAACTTGGGCATTTTTGACTCTTCTCTTTCGTATATGAAATACAGTGCCCCAGTGATTCCTGTTGCATGTGATGTTATAAACACAATTGAATTACAATAAACTTAATATGTTCCACAGTTCTGGTCACAAACCAAATTGTTTGACAACTGCATCAAATTTCCCCATGAGGTCATTGTTGTATCTAACCACTGAATTTGATTTGGTTCTTGACCAATTTGATTTATGGACAGAATTGTGGAAAGAATTCAGTTCATGACCCAAGGTGCAGTTGAACTTTTACAGTACAGATTTACTGATTGGTTGGTGTCAGTACTGGGACTGAATTAGCAAACCTTGCCCATCACTGCCCTGCTCCATCTCTGAGCTATACCCCCCCAGGAGTTTTTGCTTTTGTTTTTTAATTTTCAGATTCAGTCTCACTAAGATACCTAGGCTGGCCTCAAACTTGCAGTCTGCCTGACTCAACCTCCTGAGTAATGGGATCATAGCTGTGTACCAGTGGGCTCAGGTATACCAGGAGCTTTCTTGTCTCTATTTCCCAACTTATTGAAAGGCCAACTTTTCAGATGATGAAATAACATTTATTGAGTATGGCTGACTACCAGGCCCGTTTTGTGTTTAATACCACTCTGCAAAAAAATGTAGGTGAGACTGTGTATCATTTTTATACAGTGGTACACTTGCAGTGAGAAGATAAGTAACGGGGCAGTGGTTGTGTAGCAGTCAATAGTGGAGCACAGTTGAAACCCATGTTTAAAGACTTGGAAGCCCTGTATTGCTCTTGAGGCAAGCAGTTGTTGCTTCCAAGTGTGGGGTGCTTCTTGAGACCTGGAAAGCAGAGGTTGACACTTTCTGTCTCCTCCCTGACTTCCCTGCCCCAGTAAGAATTCCTCCCAGCTTCACTACTGTCAGATCTTATTTAAAAGAAAAAAAGAAAAAAGAATGCCTAGATAGTAGTTGGAGTCTGCAAATTATTGATGTTTTCTTCTTCATCCAGTAAGCATGTCCCTTTTCTGTGCCAAACTAAGAAGCTATTAATTTTTATTTTACCCTCTTTATTTCAGAGTGAGATCATTCGCGACAACGCTGGCATTCTGGAATGTGTTAGAGAAGGGATCGGAAGGGTGATTGGCCTGGGCGTGCCTCACAGCAAGCGACTCCTTCCCCTGCTCTCCTTGATGTTTCCCACGGTGCTGCACGGGGTTCTGCACTACGTCATCAGTTCCATCATCCAGAAGTTCGTCCTGCTAATTCTAAAGAGAAAGACCTACAATAGCCACCTAGCCGAGAGCAGCAGCCCTGTGCAGAGTATGCTGGATGCTTACTTTCCAGAACTGATTGCGAACTTTGCTGCCAGTCTTTGCTCTGATGTTCTCCTCTTCCCACTGGAGACAGTTTTGCACCGCCTCCACATTCAAGGGACACGCACAATCATCGACAACACAGACCTGGGCTACGAAGTGCTGCCAATTAACACGCAGTATGAGGGAATGAGAGACTGTATCAACAGCATAAAGCAGGAGGAAGGAGCCCTTGGGTTCTATAAAGGGTTTGGTGCTGTTATAATACAGTACACATTGCATGCAGCTGTCTTACAGATCACCAAAATTATTTACTCTACCCTTCTTCAAAACAGCATTTGAAATTTAGGTTCTATCACTAATTAGTCCAGAAAATGTAATCCGGGTACTTTGCTATGAAATTATAAAGGATAAAAATGAAATACTGGGAGGAAATGGACAAGAAAGCGAAACTGGTAGAAAAAGTTGTGCTGATTGTATTGACTTCTTTTTTAAGAAAAAGTTGGGGTTTTTTTTCAAATTTAAAAGCTCACTAGAACTAACACATGTAAGAATAAAATTTTAGCTAGCGTCACAGTCATGCTGAAGAAAACATGGTAGAAAGCTGTGTCATCGGTATGAAGTGAAAGTTCCGTGGAGTCGAGTGTGTGCCGTCTGATCTCGGTGTTGGTTACAGTTGCTTCCTCTTCAGCTCAGTACTGGCACATTACCCTTAAAGCCCTAGAGTACCACTGCGTCGGTGACTTTTACTTTGAAGCAAATAGATTATGTCACCACTGAAAAAGGCTAAAGGTTAGACTTGGCCCTGTGTGAGCAGGCACTGAGGGGTTTCTGCTGCATTGTCTCTAACTTAGTGGTTGTGTATGTGTACATGCTGTAGAAAGCCGTGTCTGTACACACATATAACTGGGAATTTGCTTTATCCTACCAATTCTCTTCTTATAGATCAGCCTGCTGCATATAATGAAATCATATACTTTCTGCTTAAACACCAGAATAAAACATCAAAAAGCCAACGTACCCAAAGATCCAGCCAGTTGGAGGGACTTGTCCACATCCAGGCCCAGGACTTCAGTGCCAGCCGCTTAAAATTTATTATACATCTGTACAGTTCAGCTTGCCCAGTTATGTGAGTTGTCAGTCTGGTTTTAGGGCCACACTTAGGAAAGAATATAAGACAATCATGCAGCCATTGCTGTTGCTACGTTTATAAATTGTGCATTTACGCCTCATTTGCCTTTCACTTTCGGAATGGTGTCCCTTAGCGTTCAGCTGGGGATCATGTCTTTTGCCTACATACAGTCATCTTTAAGTAACATCTTCATTTTTTTTTCTATTATTGCTTATCTAGAAATACTTGAAGAGAAAAGCGAATTATCATTTTTTTTTTTTTACTGAAATACATTTTCGTGAATACTGAAGCAAAAATAGTTTATGTATTTTATATACTTGGGGTAGAGTGTGGGGGAATATCTTAACAAACAAAAGCAATGGTTAATCAGCAGTGAAAAAAGAAAATTATCCCCATTTAAGATACGCTCTGTACAGTAAAGTGGTTTGCGTTTGACTTGCCCATCATTAAACATTTTAAAGTTTCATTCTTCTTGAGCACAGTGACAGTTACATCATGAACCACTTAGCACTCTGAACTGCAGTGACGTGGCATGGATGGTTTCCAGCACAGAATGCAGACAAACTGAAATGTGTATTACTTGTTGCATACCACTGAGATGGTTAGTTTGTGATTGATAGTGTTGGAACAAAGAAATGACAGGAAAAGCATTGTAGAAAATCAAAAATAGCAACTGTGTTTACTATGATGTGTGTGTTTACTGTATTTTCCATTTTTAAATTTAGATTCTAAGAGGGAAAATAAACACACGGAGATTGATCACGTTACATATTCAAGGGTAATGCTCAGTTTATGGTTTATTTTTTCCAGCCTGGGAGGTTTTAATTGTTTTTAATATTTTTGAACTGCCAGATAATTCTTAGATGGTGATAGTATATTCATCATCCTGCCCTCTCAGCCCCTTTTTAAATAATCCGAGTTTATTTCTAAAAGAAATCAACAAGACAATTCTCAATTTCAGAAAATGTCTAGAACAGAATCTGAATGAAATCAAGTATTTACAAGTAAAAAATATGTGATATCCTTCATTGATAAAAATTTAGATGTTTCAAAGTTTGCTGAAAGCATGAATATAAAGTTACAGAAATTTGTTTAATTATAGAATTGTAAGACAGACTGAACCACACACAAGTAAGGTTGGCCACTTTAGAGGGAATACAAA